AACTCTTTGAATCTTATTATCTGCTCCACATGGTGGTCAAACACCAACCACCATGTACTGTCAGCCAGAAAGATAAACTGGGTTTCAATCAGCTTATAATAAAAGTCTTTGAATCACATTACCGCCATTTGCATTGCTACGCGGCCACCCGAGACAAAAATCGCGAACTTTGCAATAGACTGCCGTCAATCAAACACGTTGACGCCATTTACACGCGTTTGGATCGGCCCGGTAGGCCCGGTGAGTGTGGCTCATAATACTTGTAAACAATCGACAAGTTTTGGCGCCTTTTTAATCACACACGCGTGTAAATGATGTCAACGTGTTTGCAAAGTGCACGTCGCGATTTTTGTCTGGGGTGGCCAGCAATGCAAATGGCGGTAACTGCTCCAAATGGTGGTCGATATGACTACTATGTGCTGTCAGCCAAAAAAGAATGCAATTAAAAGCTTGCGATTTAGCTGATGAACATTCTACATGAGACAAGAAATGACGTCAAGTCATTGAATCCAAGCAATACCTTGGTGATTGGAGGACCTCCCTCGTAGGCCTTTCGCGTCCATATCTCAAAGACACGTGTTTTCTTAGTCCTCTTCCACCCTTTGGTACCCGCCTTCTCCCATTCTACCAGCTTGTCAATGTCCTCATCACCTATGGCGTTGATGGGTGTATACAGCTGTAGAGGTGTTTCTTTATCGATCCATGAAGGGAGAGGTCCTTTGTTGTCACTAAGCTTCTCTTCGAAACTGATTTCTAAATTTAAAAAAAAGAAGAAGAAGAATACTGAGTTACATTGACTAAATTTTAGTTCGTCGTGTTTCTGTTTACAGACTCGATCATTTATTACTCTTGGATAGTCTTATTTCAGTGTCAAATACCCATAAATACCAAGGGCAATTCCACGGATATTCAATGGAACGCATGAATATTCTACACAAAATTGAGGCCAACCCTGAGCAGCCCGAGGCTAACCCGCTCGCCTCTTACCAGAGTGACCCGGGTTCGAGTACCGCCGGGCTTGGTGTTGTATATGAGTAGAGCTTTGGTTCTCTCCTGTGCTTGGAGAACCTTTCTCCTGGTTCTCCGGTTTTCCTCCCTCCGCAAAAATCAACTTCTAAATTCCAATTGAAATTTCAGTGGATGAAGAGCCACTCTGTGGAAATGCCACTCGGCTAAATCCTATTTCTTTGATTTATTTAGATTTACGACTCTTAAAACTCCAGTGTATGCGGGCTAAGCTTCGGATCCGCATAATACTTTGACAATGTGATGACGAAATTCTTAGTCAATAAGAGGGCAGACACAAAAAACTGATGTCTATTTGTTTTTTACAATAACAAAACCGATAAAAACTTCTCATTTTTAGTGATCAAACAACCAACGGAAAGAGCGCGTGCTCGTTGACGTCAGCTTTATCTGTCTGTCCTCTTACTGATGATAAAAAATAACCAATAAGAAATTTGTAAGTTATTGTAAAAATATTCATATACTGTATTCAGGTGTCAAATTTGAAAGTGAAAGTTGAAAGAGAAATTGAAGAATGTTTTTTGAATCTTTTACAAAATGTTGAAAGTGTATGTTTAGACTAGTTCGCTCTCGTTATTGTTTTCTACCCAATTTAAAATCATAGCTAGATTTTAGCAATGAAATTTTAACCGTAATATAATAAAATATAATAAAATATAATAAAATATAATATAAATTGACAGGAAGTAATCAAAAAAACTGGTTGTCTCAGTTGCATTGCCTTGACCTTACAAATATTAGTTATTGCTGGGTTTCACTCAGCTGATAAAAGTCTTTGAATCTCATTATCTGCTGCAAATGGTGGTCAAACACTGAGCACCATGTGCTGTTAACCGGAAAGAATTCTATTGAAAACTTGAAAGCTGACAAACTTTCTGCACGAGACAGGAAATGACGCCTAGTGAAACGCAGCAAGAATAACCAATATATTTTGGTTGTTATAATCCCAAATAAATTGTTTATAATAACCAATAATATTATGGTGGTTGTAACACAAAGTAAATCGTTCATAACAACCAATATTTCAACCATTTTAAAACTGGTTGTCTCAGTTGCGTAAATTTAACCAATGTTTTTTGGTTGTTTCAACCAGGCAGCTTTTACAGTGTATATAGGAGTCGTCAATTGGCAACGCGAAAAAAGGAACAGCGAAGCGTATCTTTTACCTTGAGCTGTTTTGACAACAGGATCAATAGCYTTCAAATGATCACAGCAGGCCATAGCAGGATGATAATTGATATTCTCAATACCAAACAACAACCCAACGTCCTCGGGCAGAGTCTGTTGTCTCGCATCAGGCTCTATCGGCTTAAAGAAGTGTGTCCCAGGCCAGCTCACAATGCGAGTGGTTGTGGTGGTTTGGGTGCGATATGTTACTACTTTGGTAACATCGTCATTATATTCATCCACCGATGCAATAGGTGCTCTGAAGCCCTTTGTTTCGACCTTCGACGCCAGTTGATCGTCTTCTTCTAAAATTAACACATGGCAATCAATAAACCGCCGAAAAGGCAAAAGAAAATGGAAAGCGACTAAGAGAATGGAAATCGGAAATCATTAGAATTGTTTGAAAGGAAAAGGAGGAATAATGCTAGCTTAGGAAACTCACCTTCATCAGATGATGACAATGAAGATGTCGAGGAGAGGGAGGACAGGGAAGACAGGGAATCAGTAGAAGAAACCTTTTTTGTCTCGAGAAGGATTCTCTTTTTCTCCCTCTCTGCTCGTCGTTTTGCCTTCTCTTCTTCTTTTTTCTTCTTTTCTTCTGCGCCTTCCTGTCGCTGCTTCTCTTCTCTCTCTTTGATCTTCCTTGCTTCTTCTTTTTTCTTCCTTTCCTCTTCTTCTTCCTTTTCTTTTTTTGCAGCATCATCTCCTTCAGCTTTGATTCTCATTTGGAGCATTATTGCATTGAAATCCTTCTCTTCTTGTTGTCGTTTATCTTCTTCTTCCCTCATCCTTCTTAGTTTTTCTTCTCTTTCTTGTTCTTTCTCTTCCTTTTTTCTCTTCAAATTTAGTTCTTCGTCACCTTCGTCTTTCTTGTCATCATCTACGCTTGATTCCACTATAATCTGTCGAGTGATAGTAACTGTTTCTACACCATCATCGTCCCCTGGGATGGTATCTGTCTTCGTTTCAGTTTTTATGATTCCTGCTGACTGCAATTCTTTTAATTTCTCTTCATATCTTGCCCTAGTTTCTTCGTGCTGCTTGATCATCTCCTCATCTTTCTTTATTTCATCGTCTACTCGTTTTAACTCTTCTTCATCCATTTTCTTCCTTTCCTCAATTTCCGCTTTTTTCTTATCTTCATCCTCTTTCATCTTCTTCTCAAGATCGTCAAGCCTCTGCTGGTGTTCTTCTTCGATCTTCTTCACTTCAAGCTCAACCTTTTTTCTCCTTTCTTCTTCTTCAAGCTCCTTTCTCTTCTCTTCTTCTTCTCTTTTCTTCTGTTCTTCTTCTTCTTTTCTTGCCTCTTCTTCTTCCATTCGTTTCCTTTCTTCCTCTTTGCTTTTTTCTCTTTCTTTACGTTCTTCTTCGAGCTTCTTCATCTCGTCATCGATTTGTTTCTTCTGTTCTTCGATGTCTTTTCTCTTGTCGCCTGTCTGGCTCAAAATGAACTTCACTGCATCTTCTGCTTTGTGCTGTTCTTCTTTATCCTCGGGAACACTTTCTACTTTATCGTCAGTTGTTACAACCACTTGTTCTAAGAAAGCAAACATTTTGAAAATATGGAATATCAAATTCATTTGAATAGAAAATTCCTATCGAGAATATGAACTAAGAGAAGGAATCCCCGTGCCCCATCATGTGCACATTTTGATGCTATTTTTAGAATCATTGATGCTATTTTTAGCTCGTTACCATGCCCGCGCGATAATTATGCTTCCTTTAATGCCTCGTTTTAGGTCACGAAAAGCGACAAAAACACAGGCTTTTGTTTACTGCAAGACTAGAAGCCGCCTACTCTCAAGAAATCAACCAATCAGATTCTTCGCTCAAAATATCTCCAAGCTAAAAATAGCATCAAACTGTGCACATGATGGTTACAAGGTTATATAGGTAGGATTCCTTCTCTTAGTTCATATTCTCTTGTTTCTATTCATTAGATATAAACCACAAGAGGTATTGCTTTCCAAAATTACTAAGATACTTGACTATAGACCCCTTGCAGTACTTTGGAATGCAACTCAATCTGGGGGACAAGTCAATAGGTTCCAAAACTCAGGAGATTGGAATTCTTTTGTTTTGTCCCCCAGATCGAACTGCTTTGACGTCACATGCAAGGGACCTATTTCCATTACATATAGTCAAGGGCCAATCTAGTCGTTATAAATTTTGTAATCAAATGCTTTAGAACCAAATGTTTAATAGCCAAATAGGTGAAATATTAATGATTCAATAATTTTTAGAAATTGTACGAGTTGTCGTATATAATAAAATAATTGTCCAACAAATTAAAAACTACGAACTCCACACAAAAATACTCCATTAAATCAAACGAAGTTTATGCCAATTCAAATTGCCGGCAAATTTCAGAAAAGAATTTAAAAAAGAATTTCGCGTGTCGGGTCTAGAGAATAGCGGGTTTTTATTGGAGTCAAATGGTTCGGTGTAAGTGTTGCTTACCAGTAACGTATGAGACTGTTTTAACTTCAGTACCTCCTATAACAAGAAAGAAAGTTTTCATTTTAATTTTACTAATTTCCTAACGATTTGGAGAAAGGGACATCTCCTGTTTAGCTTGGGCGTAATGTTTTCCCAAATCAGACCACGTATCTCCTCCACAGAGAACCAGAATGCAACAAATGAGATTTTAGAGCAAAGAAAGAAAGGAATAAAGATGTCACCTTCTTTGAGAGGAGCGCCATACACCTCTATCCTGAGACAGGGCCAACAGTACCATTCCACTGGACAGATACGAATGTACCTCGCTACGATGACTTTCTGAAGGTCATTGGTCTTGACGCTGGTGTTGTCCACGTTAGCATCGAATATCTGAGAAAGAAAGAATGAATAAATGAAAAATGGATATGAAAATGAATGAAAAATGGATATAAATAAAAGAGAGAACGAAATAAAGAGAAGATGGCGAGATCTGTAAAAAAGAAGAAGTAAAGAAAGAAAGGAAATATATCGACAGAAAAAACAAGACACTTTATTCTGACACACAAGCTATCCACAGAAAAAAAAATGCAAGACCTAAAAATAGCAGTAATCCGGCTATCCTCACCTGGTTACCATTCTCCTCATGAGTTGTCCACTTGTCCCCATCCTGTGAGTACTSTATTTTGTATTTCTTCACATAATCCTGATTACCACCTGGGTTCCCTTGTGTTGCTATAGAAGTGACACAATGAAGGTCCTCCAAGTCCACTTGTAACCAGCTACCCTCCGCCTCCTTTGCACACCAACCCGCAGTGTTGTTGAGCCTTGCACTAGAGGGTGGAGTGTTCTCAGCGAAGGACGAGGCGGTGATGTTTTCATCCTTGATTTCACTGGATTCCATTCCCAAAGGTTCGCCCTTCAAACCTTCAGTCACTGCACGACGAAAACAAAAAAATTAAAAGAATGYATCTATGTAACAGAGTGCATGCAGTAAAACCATGAAATAAAAACAAAGTTGATGCATGAAAGAGTGTTTCATTCGATGCAATTCCAAACACCAAGAAGTGAGTCGAAAAAACGAGGTGGAGTTTTAACCAACTTCGAGGTGTTTGGATAGAGGATGAAACATGCTTTTAAGTGGCTTGATATGACTTCTCAAACTATTAGTAATTCATGGATAAATTCAAAGTATAAGTTGCCCAAATTTTATGCTAATTAAGATCACATTTTCAAACCTCCTTCACGCTGGTGATTTTCTTTGTTTTGTTCTCATGAATTAATAATAATAACAATAATAATAATAGTAATAATAATAACGATGAAGAGGATAAGGGTGATGATGAGGATGGGAAGATGATGATGATGATGAAGAAAGAAAGAAACAATAATAATGTTGATGATGAAGGGGATGATGATGATGATGACGATGATAAAGAAAGAAAAAAACCTACAGCCTTCTATGATAATGTTGTCTCCAAACATTCCTTCTCTCATCAGTTCTCTTTCTATCATGCCATCATCAGCATTGGTTGCAAGCCATCGGCTACATGGAAACACAACACTTTCTTCGTTCTTCGAATCCTCAACGGTCACCTAGAATGAGGCGACAACAGGTCACTTGCATTATAGTGTAATTTACTACTATTACCAGATTCCATTGCACGCAGTCTTTCGTTCAGTTAATTAGTACCAATTGGTCTTACTATTTCAGGTCACGTGTCATTTGAAAATAAGATTCTTTGCTCTGATTGTATCTATATTCATGTGCCCTCTGATGACCACGCAGCCGTTAAACAAAGAAATGATAATCTAGAGAATGACACGTGGCAAACATTACTGGCGCCCAAGCTAAAAGGGTTTACTGAGTACCTTCTCTGCAGTCGTACTTTCAAATACATAGACATAGATAAACTATTTAGGGAAATAAAGCGGAATACCTTGTCGAGGTACCAGGCTGGCCCCCATCCAGTGTTATCATGGCCGATACGAATCTTGGTCAGCGTACCCAGATATGGACAGTCAAACTTGTACGTGTCTGTCCTGTGATATTAAATCATAAGCAATAATTAGGATTTGCCGTATCGTTTCCCACTCATACGAAAACTGCTCTAAGAAAAGAGTTATTAAGCACAACGAAAGACCCATAAAACAGATCGCAATGTTAATCACATACATTCCACATTCAAAGGTAGTCGAGCCCTCGTTTTCAATTGTCTGTTGTTCAGACTCCCCAGCAGATCCATATAAGGTAAAATAGATATTAGAGTCGGTACCAGCTCCCCACTCATTTCCAGTCAGGATATTTACTGTATAGGTAACATCTGGAAATAGAGAAATTAAAGAAACGTGATTTGTAATATCTATATGGAATACTTCGACGATACGGTCGGCCATCTTGGATTATACAGTAATGACGTCGATTGATATTAACAGATCACCACAAGAGAATACGACAAAAGGTGAATTAAGGCAGCACATCAATCACCTTTACCCATAACAGAACGACAAACACACGAAACTCTATTTATTTTCCGTCATCTTTGTTTGTTTTGCTCTCTGCCAAGATGGCCATCGTATCGTCAAAGTAGTCCATTTTTTCACAGAAGCAACTTCTGGATTGATTAGTATCAGATCTTGGGGGTTGTAAGGGTAGACATCCCCCCCTCCTTGAATCCTATGACATTATTCAAACGCAAAATAAACCCAAAAGTAACTGACACGAGTAAATTTTAGGGTTTCGTTTGGTTAAATTTTACATCCCATAGTGAACTGGTTAATACTCCAGTTTCTAGTTCTCTGTTGCTCAGGATTAGCCTCGATTTTGCGTAGAATATTGACGAGTTCCAGTGAAGGTCCGTGGAATTTCAAAGTGTTTGTATTGTTGAAGTTGTGCATTCTTTACTTTACCGTTGGTATTCGTGATTATTTAGACACTGATACGAGGCTAAGCCTAAGTAACTGAGTCTGTAATCAAGGAACACAGCGGTAATTTGGATTTTGAAAATGGTCTATTATTTGTTTAATTAAATATTCATGCTTCCCTGCTAGCAGAGTCTCCCTCGTTGGCGATTCAATGGCAAAATTCTCTCTGCTAGCAGGGAAGCTTTGTGCTGTAAGTTGTATCCAAGAGGGAAGACATTGTCTTTTACCCTAAGTGATCAATGGTTGTGCCCCCTTTTAAAATCCTAGTTCAGATCACTGTGTACGCCTTACTTACTTTCATGAGGGGAATCAACTTCTTCAACGTATCCTTCTCTCATCAGATCACGTCTTATCAGACCATCTTCACAGTCTGTAGCCAACCATTTGCCACAAGCGAACCCAACGACTTCTCCGGTGCTGTCATCCTCTGCTTCGATCTAAAGTACAATAAATACACTTTATATGAGAAACTAAGGGAAACGGGAAATAGGTTTTGAGATCCTAAGGAAGGATTTGGTATCAGTGAATCAGGGATGGCGTAGTGATAGTGTACCCACACCTGGCACCTCTGGGGTCTCGGGTTTGATCTCTGGACTTGGCATCAGATGTGAGCAGAATTTATGTCTTTTTAGTATAAATACACAGGTGATTATTGAAAATCTAATCACGCGCTGATTGGTCGAGAAACTCAGATTATCACACGACAATCACCTCCAGCGATAATTCAAAATGGCGGCCAGCCGCTTTGTTGTTTTAAATGTGTCTTTTATCATCTTTCTTTTTTTCTTTCCTTTTTTTGAAAGAATCACCTGTGTATTTATACTAAAACAATTATTCACCTCAGGCTCAGTGAATATCGGGAATAACAACCTCAACTTCGTTTCGATTATTTTATTCATTTCGCCTTGTTAAATATTGATTCGACGGTGTCGGTTTCGTGYGTTGGTTCTCTTCTGTGCTTCGAGGGTTTTTCTCCAGGTTCTCCGGTTTTTAATTCCGTCGTACGCGAAAATCGACTCCTTACTTCCAATCCGATCACGGAATGAGGGCCACAGGTTTGATAGGCACTTGCTAAATAAGTCATACCCCCGTAAAGCAAGGACGATTTATCTTGTTATTTTAACTTTATTATTTCCATACCTTGTCCAGGAACCATCCTGGTCCCCAGCCTGTGTTGTCGTGACCAACACGAACCTTGTAAAGTGTTCCCAAGGGTTCACTAGTCTCAATCTTATATGTGTTCTTCCTGAAAGAATTATTATAATCGTTAAAGAAACGTAATCACGTGACTAGAGTGTCGATTAAGGAGGTCACATTAGGCCCCCGACCACACTAAAATAAGTTTAAAAACGCAAGCACTATTATGCGTTTTGGCCTTGTGTCCGCACTAAAACGATCGAAAACGCTCAGCAAAGGTATATCGTATTAGTGTGGACAGCGAAAATATAGGCTTTTGAAAACGCCAACGTCAATTACACTGGCACGTGTTTTTTTCTTAATTAGTGTCGTCACGCAACGCTAACGCCACACTAAGTTAGCGGGAGTGAGCGTTGCGTGACGACACTAAGAACGGTTGCGGGGCAGACTATCTTAGTCTATACATGACTGTATGTTTTATATTACTAAGAACCGTTTGGCACTAGGAGTAATACTTACATTCCACCTTCAAATGTTTCATTTCCTTTGTTTTCGAACTTCTGTTCCCCGGACTCGCCCTTAGTACCATATATGGTAACATGGACGTTAGCATCGGTCCCAGCCCCCCACTCGTTTCCAGTGTAGATGTTGATGGTGTATTGATAAGCTAAAATTATGCATACAAAATATTAAACATGTTATTTACTTTTGATTTGTTTACTTTTGATATTAAATTTAGTGCTAATAATAATTGATGTTGATGATGAAGGTGGTGATGGTGATGGTAATGCAGATAATGATGATCATGATGGTAGTGATGGTGATGATGATGGCGATGAAGAAGACGATGGTGATAGTGATGATGATGATGGTGGTGGTGGTGATAATGATGATGATGGCGATGATATAAATAATGATGATAATAAAGATAAATGTCTATTTTCCTAGGCTTACTCTCGCCCTCTTCCTTCTCCTTGACCGTCATATTGGTCCATGTCAGTTCACGTGATGTTAGCCCGTCATCCTCGTCTGTAGAAAGCCAGCGTTCACACGGGAACTCAAACACCTCACGGCTCTTGATGTCTTCCACTGTTACCTAAATGAAACATAAATGAGACATCTGTTCCGCTTGGTTTTCACCTAGCAACGCAATCATAAACACAAGGACAAGCACAAAAAAGGATTTAAAAAAATGATTGTCACCTTGTGTATGCGATTGCATTGAGCCTGCTTTCATAACAAAATACAGAAAGAGTAATTGGTTTTAACATCAGATTCTTTGCCGCTGTTCGCATTACCATTCGAATTAATCGAAGGGATGAAATTGGAGAACCCGAAGAAAACCCAAGGTAGCAAGAAAGCTCTACTCTCATGTGATACCGAGTCTGGGAATGGAAACAGAAACGCCAGAGCTGAAGTGAGTGTACTACTACTACACCCCCTTGATTCCCTTAATGATGATAGATGATGATGATGATGATGATGGTGACGATGATGATGAT